ATTTAGGATTTAGCATTTATGATTTGGGATTTGATGTAGAGGTCTTAGGGTTTGGGACTTGAGATTTGAGATTGAGGTAAAGAGAGATATTATTTTACTATGAGTTAAAAGATATTTATTAATGTGTTATAAATTTTAATTAAATTTAAACCATTTATTTATTTAAACTAATGGCTATAAATCAGTTTTTCAATTTTTCAAAATCTTACCTAACATTAAGTTTGTGTTTCGTTTTAGTACTTCGCCTTAATAACTCAACTATCTTCTCCTTCTATTCTGTTCAGTTAAGTGTAAAATTTTAATTTAATTACTTAACTTTCAAATTATTTTTAATTTAATTGCTCTAATTTTCAAATTTATTTTTTATTTTAATTATATATTAATAAAATAATAATAAAAATTTAATCTCACAAAAGTTATTAATAACATAAATTAGAGTGATTAAAATATGATCAATTTGAAAGTTGAGTAGTTAAATTGAAAATTTTAAACTTTTGTATTAAAATACGAGTGAGAAGATAGTTGAAGGATGAATGATATAATTTACCCATAAAAATACAGTGTTGTTAAATTTTTAATGGTGAGATACTAAAATGAAATAAAAATTAAACATTAGACATGATTTTAAAAAATTAAAAATAAAATACTAAAACAAATTATAACTGATAGTTTAAGTAATAAAGCATAATTTACCCTAATAAATATTAACATAAATATATTTTGTAATATCTTAAAAATCAAAAGTTTTCATTCATTGGAATAATAAAAGATTAAAAAAAGAAGTTGGTTGGCTCTTGCCATGGTGTTTTCCTGAAAAATGACCGTGACTGGTATATTTATTGATCTAACACCGGTCAAATTATATTTCCCGATCTAACACCCGTAGCAGTAAAGCGCGCTCCCTGTCCATGCGCTATATGCTGATTTGGCGTCACGTGGGGTATAGCGTGCCCCATGTACCGCACTATACGCTGACATGGCATACACGTGGGTATAGCGCACTCCCTGATCCGCGCTTTACGCCACGTAGGGGTATAGCGTCGCCCCTGCTCAGCGCTATACCTGGGTATCTGGCAGAATTATATTTAGCGCGGACCCTGGTCCGCGCTATACCTTTTATCTGAATAATTACATATAGCGCGGTGCAGGTACCGCGCCTTATATGGTTATAAATACCCTTCACTCCCGGTTAAATTTCTCACATCTCCTCACATCTCTCATCTCAACTTATAAATTAATACAACAATTTCGTCAACGAGTAATAATTCTGGTAATTTTCTCATATTTGATTTAGAAGTTCGTGCGATTTTTCATTATAAATTTTGTTATAAATTTTTTTATTATACTTATTGTTTATTATGATTATTTGAAAAAATATTATACTAATTATTTTCAATTAATTTTTGTGTTTGTAAAATTGAAAAGCATGAGCATACGTCAAAATAGTTTTGCGGTGCAGGTAATAATATAAAATTATTATTTAAATTATTTACGTTGATGTGTAAAAAATTTATTGTGTTATATTTTCGTTCATATATAATTTATTTAATCAGGTTTGTTTCAGTTATATTTTTTTGCAGATATAATATTGCCGTACTTTTAAACTCAAAGAATGACGCAACTTTCAGCTATTGTTTATTATGATGGTAAAATTCGAGAAGATGAAACTGGCGTTGTTTTCGTATCAAATGCGCTTGTTAAAATATCATTCAAGAGAAACATAACTCTTGAGGAGCTGATAAAGAAGATTTCGAGGAAGATTCATGTTGGAAGTAGTAGAAGAATGTCGTCATTGCAGTACAGATTTCCAACATCATTGTTGCCATTAACTTATACATCGTTCGAACTTTCAAACAATGATGATGTTCAAATGATGGTTGAAGCTCAAAGTAATTATTCAGAGGCCACTATTGAGATGTATGCACATTTTGTTCAAGTGCGTGCTGTTCGGGGTTAATCATTAAGTTCCCACTATGGGCTGACTGAACAAGTTGACAGCCCGACTACAGTAATGTGTAATGATTTTAATGCCATAATGGGGAGACATTCATCCGCATCTCCTTACGATATGTACCAAGGTGGGTCCACGAACAATCCGTATGGCAACACCGCGTCCAGTTCAAGGGGAAGACATTCATCTGCAAATTTCTTTGACCATATGGAGATGCCATCGACGTAACCATCTGTGCAGTTTCCATTTGACACGATGGCTTCAAGCTCCAGGGGGAGGCATTCGACTGCGAGCTTTTTCGATCTCAATGTCGATATGCCTTCCAGTTTAAGGGGAAGGCGTGCAAGTAGTAGGTTCTTCGACCTAAATGTGGAGAGCATGGATGAACCATCATCTCCACCAGAAGAACCGCTTCGTGAGCCTGGTGAGGATGGTGCTGAGACTAGACTATTCATTCACCCAGAATCATCGCAATTCAACTCCGATGATGATGAAGTTCCAGGAAATGTGGCACAAACTGACCCTCCTACACACATGTATGAAGATGATTATGGTGCAATGTACGAGCCAGAATTTGCGGATATGCCTCATCTCGGTGACTATAGATATTACTTATCAATAAATAATGGTGAGTTATATTTAGGCATGGAGTTTTCAAGCAAAGAAGAAGCGGTGATGGCTATAAAAAATTACAATATCCGTAATTCTGTTCAGTCCAGAGTCAATCGATCGACGACCGAAAAATATGTATGCTATTGTGCCCGAATCGAAAACGGATGCAATTGGATGGTTCGCGTATCGAAAATGAAGAGGAAAAACAACATATGAGAACTAACAGTATACAACGGTCCTCACACATGTTGTGCTAGGGGGGTCAACCAAGATCATCCCAACTTGAACTCTGAAATGATATGCCAAGCCATCATGCCCATGGTAAAAACAAGCTCTCATATAGCTGTTGCAGTGTTGATTTCAGCTATACAATCGTAGTATGAGTAAACTGTCTCCTATAAAAAGGCTTGGTTGGCAAAACAAAATGTCATTGTCAAACTTCATGGCGAATGTGATGCATCTTACAAATAATTTAAATTAAATTAAAACGTTAAAATGTTACCGTATCAGCAAAGTGTCGAGATATATGATTTCCATCCAAACGAAGTTGATCGCATTCCATTATATATCTACAAAAAAATTATATTAGTAAAATATCAAATAAAGTAAAATGCTTAAATAAATTAAATACATAATATTAAAAATATTATAAAATATACCTTAAACAGAGATAGTATTTGAAAGAATTTGAGAGAATATGGTGTGATGAAAGTAATAGAGAATGAGGTATTTATAGGGAGGATTGAGGGTAATTAAAGGTATAGCGCGCCCCCTGTACCGCGCTATACCCCACGTGTAAGATAAACAGCTATAGCTCGGATTAGGGAGCGCGCTATACTCACGTGTAACCCAACGTAGCGCCAAATCAACATATAGCACGAAATAAAAAACATGTTTTACTACTATAAGTATTAGATCAAAAAAATATAATCTAATTAATATTAAAATCAATAAATATATAAGTGACATGTGATTTTTCGAGAAAAACGTCTCTTGCCATTAGGGGGCTGAGGGAGGGCGGTGAAAGGTCAAATCCTATTAACTCTGGATACCACTGGAAAAGCAATCTCTACCAATTTACAAAAGTATGTAAAAGTGTAAAGTAAAACTGTAAAAAGGATATTTTCTTTTTGTTTGTAGGTCTTCTCGTACTTTTCCTCTCTTTTATATCAAATAATATCCATTTTATTTTACCCACTAATAAATGAATAAATTAAAAAACTCATTTTTAACATTATTTATCTATCCATATGTTTTACGAATTTAAAATGATATATATATATATATATATATATATGTTTTAAAGACTCTTAATATTAAATGTTTAAATACTTTATAATTGTTGATATTCGAACTCGGGCCTCTAAAGACATTTTTTAGTTAAATTTAATGTAATGGATTATTTGTAAAATTATTTAAAATTAAAGATATATCTATAAGAATATGGGTAAACTACTTATTTGGTAACTTACCTATTCCTTAGTTTTATTTTGTTCATTCAACAAATATTTTTTTTACAAAAATCAAATCTAACATTATGTTTTAATTTTATTTTGATCACATGTTAAAAATTTACTAATATGACGTTTTTCTAATTATTTTCTAATATTAATGTGACATTACATTCTGATGACACATTAACACTACACTGAATTTTTCGACAATTAGTGACCAAATCAAAACCATAATGTAACATTGGGCATGCTTTTGGAAAAGACAATAGTTTGATAACTCAGCAGAAATTAAATAATAGATGGATGACTGAATAGATAATTTACCCTATATATATTTATGTTTAATAAAAATATTATTAGAAATTATATTATACTTAACAAAATATAAAGGAAAAAGACTTTTTTTTATTGTTTCTTATTTTGATTTTTATTATAACACAATTTGTCAGTTGTAGTATTTCTAATTGACTCTACTCTCCATTGGCAAATAGGTCAACACAGGGCACAATGTCCTATGAAACATATAGGACTGGATGGGCAGTAGAATCTTTTTGTTTATTGGGTTTATTTAACTACTATGTATGCATATATTTTCAATTTAAAAATAATTCTTTTAATAATTAATAATATCATCTTAATCAAGCCGCTCGTGAGTATTTACAAAATTTAATATTATATGTAAAAAAATTGTCTGAGACATTAAAATAAAAATGAGAAGAGTTTCAAAGGGAAAGTCCCATTTCTCCCTTTTCAATTACATTGTATCAAAAGATAGAAGTACAGCACTGTACATAGATACAGGCCTAAAATTTTAGATTAAAGAATATATAAAATTTTAAAGGAATGAAAATTTATAAATTTTTAAGAGATAAAAATAAATTTTTTTATTAAAAGGTGTAAAAAAATATTAAAAATATATAATTTTTTATTAAGTTTAATCGTAAAATAGTCTTTGTTTTAATTTAAGAATTTACATTAGAGGTGTTTTCAACTTTATCATAGGTATATCGACCAGCCTATCAACAATCTTTTACAAATACATGTCTCTCAGTTAGACTCTCTCACTTCACAGTTTATATAGGAAACACTGAAAACAACCCAACCCAAAGCTCTCACTACCCTTCCAATGGCTACAGTCTGCAAATGCCCTTTTCTTTTCTCCCTCTGCTTCACATTCTTCATCTTCTCCTCAGTTTCAACTGAAGAAGCTGATGCCCTTCTTAATTTCAAGTCTTTCATTGATGACCCTAAGCACTCTCTTTCCAGCTGGTCAAATACTTCGGGTGTTCATCACTGTAACTGGACTGGTATTACCTGCATCCCAACTCCTTCTCTCTTTGTATCTTCCATTGACCTTCAAAGCTCTAATCTTTCTGGTGAAATACCTTCTTCCATATGTGAACTACCCTATTTGTCTCATCTTAACCTTGCTGATAACCTTTTTAATCAGCCTATTCCACTGCACCTGTCTGAGTGCAGTTCCTTGGAGACTTTGAATCTCAGTTACAATCTCATCTGGGGTACTATCCCAGATCAGATTTCTCAGTTCGATGCCTTGAAAGTTCTTGACTTGAGCAAGAATCATGTTGAAGGCAAGATTCCTGAGACTATTGGGTCATTGGTGCATCTTCAAGTGCTCAACTTGGGAAGGAACTTGCTTTCAGGTAGTGTTCCTTTCGTTTTTGGAAATTTTAGTGAGCTTGTTCTACTTGATTTGTCTCAAAATGCCTACTTGGATAGTGAGATTCCTGCTGATATTGGGAAGCTTGACAAGCTTGAGCAGCTGTTTTTGCAAAAATCTGGTTTTGTGGGTGAAATCCCTGAATCTTTTGTGGGTTTATATAATTTGATCACTGTGGACCTTTCCCAGAACAATCTGACTGGTAAGCTTCCACCAACACTAGGCTCTTCTCTAAAGAAGTTGGTGTCTCTTGACATCTCGGAGAACAAGTTCTTGGGGCCATTTCCTGGTGGAATTTGTGATGGAAAACGCCTTAAATTCCTCAGCCTCCATACAAATTTCTTCAATGGTTCAATACCAAAGTCCATTTCTGAGTGTTTGAATCTAGAGATTTTTCAAGTTCAAAACAATGGATTTTCAGGTGGTTTGCCTAATGGATTATGGTCCATACCAAAACTTATGCTGGTGAGGGCTGAAAACAATAGGTTATCTGGGGAATTAACAGATTCGATATCAATGGCTGCTCAGTTGGAGCAAGTTCAGATAGACAACAACAGCTTTACTGGTAAAATACCTCAGGGCCTTGGCCTCGTAAAGAGCTTATACAGATTCTCTGCTTCTCTCAATGGCTTCTCAGGTGAAATACCTCCAAACTTTTGTGATTCACCTGTTATGAGCATAATAAACCTTTCTCATAACACCCTGTCAGGCCAGATTCCAGAGTTTAAGAAATGCAGGAAACTAGTTTCCTTATCTTTAGCAGATAACAGTCTTACTGGAGAAATTCCACCTTCCCTTGCTGAGCTACCAGTTCTAACTTACCTTGATCTGTCTCTTAACGATCTCAGTGGTTCGATTGTGCCGGGGCTCCAAAACTTGAAGCTAGCCCTCTTCAATGTATCCTTCAACCAGCTCACTGGTAGGGTTCCATCATCTTTAATATCAGGCCTCCCAGCTTCGTATTTGGAAGGAAATCCTGGACTCTGTGGCCCCGGATTGCCGAATCCTTGCCCCGATGAACATCGGAAACGTCACTCTTCCGGTCTCACAACTTTGACATGTGCCCTCATATCTATAGCATTTGCCATTGCAACGATGATTGTTGCTGCTGGTGTGTTTGTGTTTCATAGATATTCCAAGACCAAGTCGGAAACAGGCGTGTGTAGGTCGGTTTTCTTCTACCCTCTTAGGCTCACCGAGCATGATTTGATGATGGGAATGGATGAGAAAAGTGGTCTAGGAAATGGTGGTCCTTTTGGTAGGGTTTATACGATAAGTCTACCGAGTGGTGAACGAGTTGCCATAAAGAAACTAGTGAATTTTGGGGTCCAACCTTCCAAAGCATTGAAGGCAGAAGTCAAGACATTAGCCAAGACGAGGCATAAGAATATTGTTAAAATTCTGGGGTTTTGCCATTCAGATGCATCTGTCTTTCTTATTTATGAATTCTTAGAGAAGGGGAGTTTAGGTGATTTGATTTGCAGATCGGATTTTCAGTTGCAATGGAGTGCTAGATTGAGGATTGCGATTGGGGTCGCCCAAGGATTGGCATACCTTCACAAGGGTTATGTTCCACATATGCTTCATAGAAATCTCAAGTCAACAAACATTCTTCTCGATGAAGATTATGAACCGAAGCTTACGGATTTCGCACTTGATAGGATAGTTGGAGAAGCTCCGTTCCAGTCGACCATTGCTTCCGAATTTGCACATTCCTGCTATAATGCACCAGGTAAGGAATCCCACATTGATTTTTTTTTTTCAGTTGAAGACCAGACCAAACTGAGGCTTTCATGATCCATCATGTTCCACATATGTTGTCTGATTGCAGAATCTAGATACATCAAGAAAGCAACCGAACAGATGGATGTTTATGCGTTTGGTGTGGTGCTGTTGGAGCTCATAACAGGCCGACAAGCCGACGACATCGAATCCTCGGATTCTCTCGATATTGTAAAATGGGTTCGAAGAAAAGTAAACATTACCGTCGGAACCTTACAAGTAATTGATCCCAAGATATCAAGCTTTTCCCAAAAGGGAATACTAGGGGCTTTGGACGTCGCCCTGTGCTGCACGGCTGTTATGCCGGAGAAGAGGCCATCGATGTTAGAAGTGGTGAGAACACTGGAGTCGCTCAAGGGCGGAGCTTGCATTCGGAACGTGGAACTGTCCACTTGGGGGTGTGAGGAGCAAATGCAATCACCTCCTGCTTGAATATGGAGGCTGATTGATGCATGGAATGCAGTCTGGTTTTTGTATGTAAATCATCTGTTTCTGACATGTTGATTCTTTTGGAGGATGATGGTGTGTCCATTTCTGTAGCACACAATGTTTGCCAAGTCGATTAAAAGTAATACCATGAGGTATTACAGCATTTTGCATGTTATAAGGTGCTTCATGTTCTATATATATATATGCATCAAAAATGGGTTTCGATTAAGTTGATTTAGTTTATCCATGAAAACCTCGAAAATAAAAATAAAAATCATTGTCTACCATGGAAAACATTATTAAATAATAGGAACTAAGGCTTTTTTTACCCGTATATATCTATTTTTTACATTAATTACTGGAACATGTATTTTCAATCATTTATTAAAATAATATCTATTTATACATGTGTGCTATGCCAATTATACCTTTAATAATACTCGATCTTTTTTTTTAATTTCGAGTTATTCGAATATTGTATATTTTCAATTATTTATAATATCTATTTACACAACCTAGTGCATGAAAACAAGCTCCAACTGATATTTGTGATTGCTAGGAACTCACTACAACATGATTTCTCTTGTACCAGCGCGTAACCAACAACCTCAGCTACCCGTTTAGTGAATGTTGATGGAGCCTATGAAGCACTTACGGTAGGGATGAGTAAAACTTGTATCGACTCAAAAAATCGATTTTTCTTTTTATTTTGAGTTATTTGAGTGAATTCAAATTATCAATTCGGTTTTCGAGGTACAATTGAATTGAAATTTAAAAATTTCGAGTTACTAAAAAAACCAAAAATTTGAGTGATTATATTGACAGTTTTGCGATTTAGTTCCTAATTTCCTTATTCCTTTAATTCCTCCTTCATTTTTAAGTTCATTTTTAACCAAAATTGAACCACATGCTCCTAAACCATCTTAGAATACCTATGTGCTTTCAATTCCTCTTTTTTTTATAACAATTTTTTAATTTTTCAATTTAGTCTCTCAATTTTTCATTATTTCTTTATTTATTTAATTCATCCTTCGTTTTAAGTCCATTTTTTTGCCAAATTTGAATCACATATTCCTATACCACTATAGAATACACAATTCTTATTTTTTTTTTACTAAAAATATACTTTTTTTATTTACTCCCTTAATTTTGCATTACTCAATTTGGTCTTTTGATTGTAATTGTTTGCAAATTTTTGCTTTGCATCAATTCATTGACTATTTTATACTCTCATCAACATTTTACCCTCAAAATATCTTCTTTAAAATATAATATTGTAAATATATTTTATAATTTTAGATTGTATTTGATATATTAAATAATATTATATTGTTTAAATAATATGAAGATATATATATATATCTCATATGATTAGAAAAAATAGAGAATTCAGAATCAATCTTTATCATAATACTATAAATAATTATAATAAAGTTTGTATAGAAATTCGAATAACTTGACTCAAACTCCTTAAACTCGAATTGAAAACATTTCAAGTTAAGTTCGAGTCGCAAAATATGATTCGTCAACTCGAATAACTCAATATTTTGACTCGACACGACTCAACTTGATCGAAAGCTCACCCTACTTATGGGACAATCGACCATCAATGTTGTGGAGCGCGATCACTTGGGGTTGTTGAAGCTTACCAAGCACGTCTCCTAAATAGAACATTTGATGCAGATATAACAGATGACAAGATTGAAGCCAGTAATGGAGAAGGGGTGGCAAGATATCATTATTACGGGGATGCTGCCAATATTGTTAATAAGCTTGCGAATCCTAAAATAGATCTTTCGATGGCGGGGTTCTATTTAAGACATGTGATAGACATGATTGTTATTCATTCACGTTTTCAGGTCCAATTTTGATGACGAGAAACAAACGGCGCAGTTGACCCAATGATTTTTAAGATGCAATTTATCGTTATACCACGAGTTTGAATTTCCAGACTGCATTTTATACATTGGGATACAAGAAGATATTTTTGGCTAGATTAATATAATTATTACTTTGTTCTTGAAAAATGAAGTGTTACAGAAGTAGGATTTTAAATAGCGTTCGCAGTTACGTTTTCGATCGCTTCACGTTTATCACAGTTGCGGACATAATGGATGTCATTGAGGTCATTGCGGTTATCGCGGTCATGAATTTTTTTTAAATGTTGCACAACTTACCCTAAAATGACTAAATTAAATATAATTAAAATAAAATTATAAAATTTAAATTGCAGAAATTTAGATTACTGAAATTAAGACTAAATTAAATAAAAATTAAACTTTATATTTTAAACTAGGGATTAAATTATAAATTCTAAAAGTTGGAGGGATGTCAAATTAATATATCCTTTAAAATTATATTTTAAAAATTATTAAAAAGAAGAAGAAATAAAGCACCCTCCCCCCTCTTCCCCCTCTTCCCCCGGCCTTTCTGCTTTGACCCTCCTCTTCTTTCTCCCCCTTCACCTTTCTGCTTTGACCCTCCTCTTCTTTCTCCCCCTTCACCTTTCTGCTTTTACTCTCCCCCTTCCTCTGCATGTTTATTCTCGCCGGCGATTACACTATGTTTCCTAGGGAAAGATTACTCAAGAAGATCAACAGTCTAGCCCAGTTGCTTTCCTTCCAGCCGCTTCCTCAGGTTCGTCGATCCTCTCAAATTTCTTATCCTCCTCCCCTTCCTCTCCCCGATTTCATTGTCTGAAACAAAATAAAAATATGCTTTCACTCTCAACTACCCTTTCCTCCTCCCCGACCTTTTATTTTTTTGAAATAAAGAAAAAATTACGGTTGAAAATTGAAATCACGATTGGAATAACGGTTATTGCGTCCCGTGATCGGCGAAATAGTCCGTTTCCCATTAAATTACAAGCGCAATCGACCGTGATCGGTGTGAATTCGTGACCCACCGCAAAAACCATGAATAACGATTTCAGACTGTGGCACGACCGCAATATCACGGATGCTATAGTATTTTCGGGATACCCTGTACAGAAGGATTCTTCATAAAATGATAACGTGATAGATGAAAAGATGAAGGAAGTAATATGACTGATGTGGAGTTAAAAAAATAAAAATTAAAAAATAAAAGAATACTAAGAAGGAAGAAAGGTCCAAATAAACTGGTTCAAGTGTTGAAGAAACATGAGTAACAATATGTGGATGAAGATGAAAAAAGACAAGTTACTACAACTGACAAATAAATAAGATTGTTAGTAAAAGTTGTTAAAATTCTAGTAATTCAAGAAATATCTACGAATGATGCAAATGAAATCTTACCCTTATGTATGAAATGAAAATTCTTTGGTCTTCTTGACACATTTTCTCAACTCTTGAAAACTCTAGCAATCTAAAATTTAGAGTTATCTTCCAATGGTGTCCATCAGAGTTTCTGTAATCCCATATTCCCTCACACTCAAAGCTTAATACATAACTCACCTTATACAAGACTGTTGCAAAACCAAGAGTGATGACCAAAAAACACTTCAATGGATTAGTGTTTTTGTAACGCCCCAGATCCCGGGTCAGGATTTTTGGTTTAACCTGAAATAGGCCTTGGATTAAATCTCTAGCTTGTAGGAAGCTTTAACACAATTTGAGGTTGATTTGGGCTTGAGTTAAGCCCAATAGAGAGTAAAAAGGGTATTTTTAGTTTACAACTAAAATCAGAAAGACCTAGATTGTAATTAGACTGTTACTCAAAATAAAGATAGAACACCATTAAAATTTGGTGATCTCATGTCTGTGCATATCCCTCTTTTTCTTCATAACTCTTGTCTTCTTCTCCCAAACTCTTCATCTTCTTCTTGAGAAAGCTATATTAAAGGAGGAAACTTTAGTTTGTTGCCAACATTTCACAGCAAGCCAAGGTAAGAATCAAATTTAACTCACCCCAAGTTTCATCCCAATCCTACTTTTTCAAAGTTTGGCCATAGATTTCAAGAAACGTGTTTTGTGCGGGTTTAAGGAATTCAAAGATTTTGACCTGTTTCCAGTAATTTCTAGGTTTAAGATGAGTCCTTAGGTCTTCTAAAGCATTAAACTCAGCTAGTAATCCATGCATTGGGTTTTGTCTTGTGAAAGAGATTAGAGAGAGCTCTCAAGCAAGGGGAAGGAAAAACTTACCTTGGGTTGTTCCTTTGACACCCTTAACAGCTCAAAATCACCAGGTAACTCACTCTTAACTCACATATACCACATGTAGTTCATCTAGGTGAGATTTGGTAAGTTGCATAAGCTTGAAAAATTCATGGTAGATTGCATCGTTTGTGTTTTCAGCATGTTTACAGACTCAATATAACCCCTAATACCACATAAAACACCTAAACATAAATTGAAGACCTTAATAGGGGATTTGGGGGTAGAAAGATAGGATTTTTTATGCCAAAACAGGTACCCGGTAGTGACAATATCGATATTGTTCTTCATTCAGACATAAACTAGGTAGTTTTATAAGTGTATTATCGATACTCATTCATTGGGTATTGATACCATGGCAGGAGTATCAATATTGGGGTATTTTTCAAAACATCGAACTAAAGTTTAGTATCGATACTCAGTCAAGTATCGATACCCCAGTACCAAAGTATTGATACCCCAATATCAAAGTATCGATACTCATAATAGGGTATCGATACTACCTTAACCAAATAGTCCATGTCAGTCAGGGGGTATCGATACCAACAGGTAGGTATCGATACCAAAGGTTTAGTATCAATACTGAAGGGTCAGTATCAGTACCCACAAACAGATTTGGATAAATAATCCAAGGATTAAGGAATCAGAGTTGAGGTATCCCAAATACACTTTATAAAACACTGCAAATAAGATTTCAAGCGAGAATAGTAAGAAACATCATAACACTAGAAACAATAACAACTAGGATTTTATAAAATTAGCCTTATTTGATGCTCAAGAAACTGTCAGGACATCAAGTTCCTTCTTAGAATAATACGATACTTAGTGGATATCAAAGTCAGTGCTAAGGCACTTTAGTAGCTGACTTGGCGTAGATGCCCCAAGACTCGACGGAGTAAATTGGCGGGTGTACGTTTCTGATGCAGATTTTGATCTTATCGTGGTGTACCGTGAGTATACTAATAGTGCTAGAGGGTGCGTGAGCTCTACGATGTAGATCCCTCAGTCACACCATGATGCCAACCACATTTATTAGTTCAGTAGT